TACGAGTAACGACATCACGACTTAAGGAAGATGCATTTACCGGAACATATAAACGGTAGCTTGACTAGACGTCAATTTGGGCCAAGAGTTCATGTAACGTCCAAAACAGTTTACGGCCATTTTCATAATACTTAACCAACACGTTGTCTGAGAAATAATGTATGTTGGATTCATTTTTTTTTTTTGATTTATTTAATTTTTTTTATAACTTAATGCGATTTTTCCGGAGCAGAAAAATACAAACAATATTTATTTAGTGTAATCATTTGGAGTTCTGTTGTCGTTCGATTTTTACGAAACTTCGTCCGTATAGATCTTTCGGTATTTAAAAATAATCTCCGGATGAAATCCTTTCCCGATATTACATTATTCTGTAATAACGTTTCGAACCTATTTATTTATTTTCCAGTTAACGGACGATACCTTTTGAATACAATAAGATACATAAAATATAACTAATAATAAATGTTAATAAAAATAATAATAACCATAAACAAAACATAAAAAGTTAGAGTAATTAAAAATAGTTAAATAAGAAAGAAATATTTTTCTATTGAAAATAATGTTCTATTTTAGTGAAAACAATTTCTGTATTTTTTGTTTTTATTTCGGCCGTGTGAAAATCCTGTAGAAACATCATAGTAGTATAGTACAATATAGTAAACCATATCAACAGCTAGTGCAGTATTTAAAATACATGGTTCGCCCCAATTTTTCTACAAAAATATCTAAGTTTTTTTCTATACAAAATCATATAGTTATATAGTGTGTTACGAAAATGATGTTAAACAAATTTCGATAGTCGAATTATCAAAAAAGTACGAAATATTGATTTTTAAAACATTGACCGTTGTTTTAATTTCTATAAATCAAATTGTAGATAATTATTATTTTTCAATAAAAAAAAATAAAACATTATAAATTTAAAATTTTGTTTTCTGATAGCAAAAATATATATTTTTAATTAAATAATTTCAAAATGTGTAAACATAAAATAGAATAAAATAATAATTCATAAATCAGAAGTAAATAATTTATAACTTTAATAATATGTAATAATGGCGTTAAAAATAAATGAATAATAATTTGTTATTACAAATACTTTTAATTTTAAATATTTTTATATTTGATTATTTTTACGACAAAAAATAAGTCAATTTACGTTTTAATTATTCAATATTTATTGTGATAATAATAAACTTTGGTTGATCGATATTTCGTATTTTTTGATGTTTGACTGTCGACATTTTGATTGTGATGTTTCGATTGTCTTTCATTGTACGTAAAACGTAAATACGATTTTTTTATAATCAAAAATTTGTGTAATTTTATGATAATTTTGTTTAAATTATTTTAATAGTATCAAATTATATAATTACGTGGCAGATATAACATACATAGTCGATTATGAACTAAAATTAGAGATAATATCAATTATTCAATATTCTTGTTCGTTTTCATTATTATTTATATCATTCGTCGCAAATTATCCGTACAATAGTAATAATAATAATATAAAATCATATTATGTGTTTACTGTTGGTTTTTCACATTAAACGTGTATTCGTAAACAGGTATAAATCGTTGATATACAGTATACTCAACGAAATTATACCCGGAAAAATGTTGATACTGAAATAATTGTAATTTTTTTTTTTTTTTTGTTCTAGTGAACGAAAGTCAATGTCAGCAAATGGTTATCATTTACAAACCATACCTAATTCGAATGTCCTCGCGTCGTTATATTATATATACATAGTCTTGTTCATTATTATTGTTCTTGCATTACCTACTTACAAACGACGGAACGTTAAAAAAAAAATACGCTGAATCAAAGGGCGTTTACCAGACAGTAATTAAAACTATTCCATTCTGGTGAGAATCAAAAAACACATTCAATATTATGATTGTAATCTTTCCGATAGCGGCTATTGTTATTGGGATGATAACGAGTGAAATAAATAATATAGGGAATATTTTAATATTAAACTATAATATTGGAGTGTGTCCATCAAATTTTTTTTTTTCGGACGACTGAAACTCTATTTTAGAACTCTGTGAGAAAAATCTTTCTGTGGTAGGTATAACTCCATTGCAGTAGACAATACACCACTCTGTCGAGGGAATAATTTTTAAATTATGCGTGTAACTATTTTGTCGTACTTTTATAATCGCTGAAACGTATCTTTTTTTTGTTTTTATTTTCGTTCATCTGCCGGGTGTCGTGACTGCGCTACGACACTCGTGACTCTTTGACGGCGCTCGAAACGCCATAATATAATATTTTAATTAATCATTATGAATGGCCATTTATACGTACAATTTTCTAATATATGCGCGTGGGAGAACTGATGGAACAATACACCGGACCTTGAACCAGTTTTTCGAGAAGCTAGTCATAACGATATTTTATTTTTCTCCTCGATTTCAGCTACCTAATCGTATATATTACTATTTTACGTGCACGTTCGGCCCCGGGACATAATTATTTATGATATTATGATATTAGCGTGTGTACGAACTACTACGCCCCGGTGTAACAGAAGAAGCTATTACATCTTTGTATACGACGAAGATGATAACGATATGATAAATAAGTTATTAAACAGTTGTCGTATTTTGGAGACGGTAATCGATTTAACTATCTATGATTTGAACTGTGAGATTAAACACGAACACAAAGCTGTGGTGTTTTCTTTTCATTTAAGTATCTCATTCATGTAATTGTAAACGTAAATGTTGTATAACCTCATCATTTGTGTTGTGCGTATTTGTATTAGGTACGATGTTAATCATCGCTGTGAATATAAATCAGTTACCTATTTATACAATATATTTTTGTAGTCGCCGCCTTGATAAAAGTAGTGTATAGCTATATATTAAAGCTTAAGTCTTATGAAACTACACTAACTGAATCCTAAATAATGTTTGGGATTAAAATTTTCTATACGGAAGTACAAAAGTCAATATTATTATATAATACCTTATAGCTTTACAAATATATCGCTATGATAACATTTTAATCGGTTATTAATTTTTCTAAAATTGATTATTTATATAAACATAGTGGATATAGATATTGAATCTTTTAAATTCTTCCAATTCTGTATATTTTATTTGTACGCGTTTATATTTAAAACTCCTTTTAAATATTAAAATTGAATGAAAACGTTTAATTTATTATTTATTTATTTATTTTTTCAGAAAACGATTTTAATAACACAAGCAATTATAGCTATTTAGTTAGCACGTTTTGAATTTAAACGAGGTATAGCCTTTTTTAGAGGCTATATTGTTAAGTTTAAATGGTTCATAGATGTCAGAAAGTAATTTGGTAGTAATTGAAATTAAATACAATTTTAAAAAAAGTGAAAATGTAACAAATGGAAACAATATAACGCATAATATATAATATATATTTTGTATATATTTACTATCCGATTTGTTTCTATAACGTATTCTCTTAGGCTTTATATGTGTTCATGTTAAAATAAAATTATGCATTTTAAATTCATATTAATTATCACTTTTTAAAATTCTCAAGACTAAAAAAAATGTTATGTAACTAAAAACTGTTTTAATCCGTGCACACTGAACAATAAAAGTTGTGAAAATTTATCATATTAGTATGTAAAATCATAGTAATTAGTAAACAATATTGAATCATGTCATTGAAAGTAGATTATTTGTTTTCTAAATTGTATATTGTTAAGTTAAAAAATGTCTGTCATCATTGTTATTAGAATTCAGACATTGACGACGGAGTGAAGTACGTTCGTTAAGAGAAGACGTTTTTTTAATTAATTATTATATTGTTATAAAATTCGTAATTCATGGTTTTTAAAACGCCCAGTAGAGAGCTTTCTTGAAATGCTCGTAGGCTTCAATTTATAGTGATTATGACATAGACGATAACAATATTGCAGATGTACTTTTTGTTTCTTAAATTAAAATTAAATTCTGTTGTTCGCGTAGAAATATGAAAACTGTGTTTTTATTTCACCGATTGCAGCAAAACAAAACGCGCAGTTAACACTTCGTAAAGAATTAATAGTAATATGATAAGTTTCGATATACGCGTGTATGACATTGTGTATGTTTGGGACAAAAAAAAAAAGTTTCGACGGCGCTGAATATCTAAGAAATATTATATACAATAAATCAACGGCGTATCTATTGTATATAATATTATTTAGGTATGCCACTATAACGATATTATGTTCAGGTGATCGTGCGGGGGGCGGAAATCGTTGCTACAATATACGACGAACGTGCCAGTATCACTTTGTTTGTTTTCCATTACATGGGTTAAGTTTCTATAGCAAAACAAGGTGCGTGCCACCATACCGTAAAATTTAGTACCTATGTATAATATCAATAGACACGTCATTTCACACCCGTTTGCATATATTATACTTTAAGACGTTATAAGTTTACTCGTGTGTGTGAATAAAACGAGATTATATACGACATTGAATTTTGCTAGACTACTTTCTTTCACAGCTTACCATACACTATCACGTATGAGCCGCACGAGAATATAATATTTTATTTAAAACAACCGAGCTTGGTGAGTAATATACAGGCATTAGGTGGTATTGGTCGATGAGTGTAGATATATTTAATATTGTGTGTACCTACCTAATTTACGCATATAATAACAATATAGTCACGTGCGAAATAAATCAACGTAAATTGGCGAAATACAGCCATATATCAATTTGTAAATACACGACATTTAACGTACTCATAACATAGGTACTAAATACACACTAATTGACGAATATTATTAATATGAAGTGTATAATATATTATACACAAATTATATAATATTGTTTCGAGAAAATAATAAAATAATTTATTATGTACGTGTTTACGATAGTTATTATAACCATATTAATCGCGGAAGATTTTTTTTTTTCATCGTAACAATGTGAAGCAGCCGACAAAATAAAATACGTGAAATGATAATAAGTAATAACATAGTTTATGTGACTTACCGATCAGCAACACGGTAATATGAAGTAATATAAAACCGGATCTGGTCAATTTTTTCAACACTCCAATGTCCATGTTCATGTACACGCTATGTAAAGTTTGTCGACTCGTTTAAATGTACCGATTTCTAGAAAGAAAAACGTATTACCTATTAGAAACGTACAACCATGGGATAAGAATATTATATTTATGTTCATTGGTAGATACTTTAACGATGCGGTATACATTACACTATACGTATAGATATTAGATATTATACTATTACCTGTATTGTAATAACAATTAACGAGTGGGTCGCAGGTAGGTACGCGTATTTGAATACCATAAGCCCCCGCACATCACAACTACATAATAATTGATATATACGAAATATAAACAATAATATAATATTTAATATATTCCATATTATAATTCATTTTACGACCCCCGTACGATTTAACCGCGATACAGTTGTAACGAGTTTTCGAATGCTCAAAAACGAAAGTACAGGTTGAAAGTGTTTTCCACGCGATACACTGCTTGCCATACCATTATTTATCGTCTCTAATTCGTGATTAATTCTATAGGTATGAATTCACACTATTATTAATTTTACTTTTGTGCCCACACGTTTAATGCATTGAATAACACATAAGTTTCACGTAAGATTTAATGCGAAACGATCCCTTTTTAAATTTAAGACGACTGTACCAGACAAAGTTTTGAAAGCTGTATCGACATCTATATCGAAAATCATGTGGTCAGGATTTTGAACGGTAATCGCGTGGTCTAGATCTATCATCACAGCTTAAAATCATACATTTGGGGTCATTAGATCCAGATAGTTTCCCTTTTTTTTGCGTGAGGGATTAACCATAACGTGGTGCACCCACTTTCGTTTGTCTAGCGATAAAAACTATTCAATAAAACAGAGCAATCTGACAGGCGATGGTTCAATATTGACGTACGATAGAGATGACGAAATCGATGACGTTATAAATAAAAATATTCGTCAACAGGTCCGGTAACGTTTGCGCTTTTCTGTTGCGCGCAGAGCTTAAGGGCTGCTGAAGGTCACAGTGAAAGCGACACTTTCTCCAGGCCAGCCAGCCGGTTACAACGTCAAACATTATTATTATATTTTTTTTCAACTATTATTATACATTCGGACGAACCCCGAACATGCGTTTAGTCACACATGTACGTGCTATACTGCATTATATTTTGTAGTCATAATACGATGTAATATATTTTATTGCATTTTATCGTATTTTACCGATGTGTATTATACAACCTCAACGGCAGCGATCGTCATTTCTGATACGCCGTCTTAGCGGGCCAAAAAACTCGAATGGTAATATCTACTATACCTACTCTCGCAACATGAAATATTCGAGAAACTTGAACGCTCGCGATCGTATTTACCTGCAACAGATGAGTGCGGTGTTCACTGCCGAAAATCGTCCCATGGCGCGCACGATAACGGCGAATAGAGTATTAATATTATTTTACGAAAACGACTGTTTATCGGCGCTTTTATAAGACATGCGAAAACGCGACACTATCGAAAACGGCACCGGTGACAGTATTTGATGACGATAGTTACGATATGTATTTATCACGACAGCGATAATATGTCTTATAACGTAATTTCCGACTGCGAATAATATAAATATATATAATTTTTTTAAACCAACGACGTACTGTATATATCGTTATTATTATTATTATTATTTTTTTATTTTAATACGCTGGCGCGTGTGCGTTGCAAATCGAGTATCGAGTGGCGCGCACCTGACAGCGTCGGTTTGGACACTGGTTGCGGTGTAATACCGCTGGAGAGCAGAAACCCGCGCTCGAGACCGCGGTAATGCCCCCGGCCTTCGTCCGGGACCGGTACTCGGCGGCGGCTGTCCTCCCACCATAGTTTCCCCACCGATAACGCACATTGAACATAATACGTATAATATAATATAGTGGCTGGCTCAGGTACGCGTCTCTTCTTTCACCTACTTTCCTCTGGAAGCCGAATAATATATATATATATATATGTGTGTGTGTGTGTATGTGTATACATAGATACGTGAATTTGTAGTTGGTATACCAAGTATACTGCAGCGTAATGTATCTATCTATCTATATCTATATATATATATACATTACGAGTTCGTAGTAGAAAGCGTATATTGAGGCAGACATGCACGCGACTGGTTTGCAGTTTTTTGTTATATTTTTTCTTCCAATAATGATTTTTTTTTTTAAACGTACTACACAGCGTACAAAACGGCTATGCTATCCGACGCGAGTGTGAATTCTGCTGCAAAAGTTTACCTATATAACCATGTGATATTTTTGTTGCGATCTACGTTTTAGAGGAAATACCAAGATAATCTGTGGTACGGATATACATTTTTGGAATTTTAGTGATTAAGAACTTTCTGAGTCAATACTTCACGTTTTGGCGAAGAAAGTAAAGCTGTACTCATATTATTAAAAGACTTAACAGATAAGTTAAGTGATGCGGATGATAAAATGTTCTTTTCTCTACATTTGGTAGAAAACACTGTTGATAATGGCATTATACAAGAATCTCAAGCGAAATAAAATCACTAGTATTATTATTTATTATGAAAACAATAATAACACAAAATATGTAATAGTATTTGTATATTATTAGTTCCATACATAATATTACTGTATTAAACGCTTTTTGAAATACACACGTAACAAAATAATAATAGTACACAGTACCCACTAAACTATAATGATAAACAGCGGTAAAAATTAGTGTATATCTACTAAAATATTAAGAATACCTTACTTCTTAGGTTTTTTTTTATTAAACGTTGGTAACTTGATTTTTTTAGAAAAGATATATTCTCGATAAGTGGAAGGTAATTGCATTTCCTTTAAATTCCAACTAATTGAAGATCTTCTAATACTCTCGAATGCAGAAAAAGAGCGTTTTGATCAAACCGCAGGTATTTGGACGATGCGGATGACTGGGTTTGAAGTAATTCGCGGTGTAAATCAATCTTGATTAGTGGTAGACGTATTTAATCTTACGAAAAATTAAACACGTATAATTTTATTAATACTAAATGTCCTGAAAATATTTTAATGATGTCTGATTACGCAATACTTAAATAAAATAAAATATGATACATGTGAATTAGTTTGAATCTTTAGCCAAACTTGTGTCTGTGTGTCAATGTACTACGTACGTGAGTTAAGCACTTTTTGGAACAAAAAATAAGGCATGATAAATTCGTCATCAAGTCTGTAGTTTCAAGATGATTGAATTAATAGTTTATTTTACTATTCGACAAGTTAACGCGATTTATCTGCTAACTTAAGAAATTACAAGATGTTATTAAATATATTATTTATTAAATATTTGTGAAACATTTTAAAATTCATTATAATAGAATTCAAAATAGTATTTATAGTAATAAAAAATTTAATTTAATGGTCCAGTTCAACAACCTGGTAATCTCAAATTTTTGAAAAAATTGTTTAATTGTGGTTTTAAAATAAGAAAAATGTGTTGCACATTTCATTGACATACATGGTTTTTACACCGAAATATATTAAATTGGTTGGTAATAAATTATTATTTGCATACTTATCAGCTTTGATCAACACAACAAAAATCAAATATAAAACTTATTGTACATCAATATCCCGAACCAGGGCATAGCTTTTTGACATGTAACAGATGTTTTGAGCATATTGAACAAGTGAGACGGAAAATAGAAAGAGTATACTTACCAACGGTTTATAAAACCTGGTAAAAACTTGTAAACATTATAATGTTATTCGAGTTACACAAGAAATTATTTATAACATTTACGATTACCTTATGCCTTTAAAAAAAAAAAAAAAAAAAAAAAAAAAAAATGTTACTAACAAAAATAAGGGAAAGTTTTCAATAATGTCATATAGATTGGTTGAATAAAAAACTGAGGGTACCTTTATACTTGTATGAAATTAAACTGTTAAAAAACTATATACACTTGAAAAAGTTGGCCAAAAATTACTGTTGAATCAAAGTATTCTATATTTATTGTAAAATGGACTAATAAAATAAAACAAGGTATTATAATGATGTACAGAAATTAGAAGTCAGGTTTATGTCACAAATGAACACAAATCGTTTTATAATAATCTTCAAGTTTACAAAATTTTAAATTAAAATACATCAGATTCTGAATAATAACTTATAAAACACTTGTTTTTTTTTTTTTTTTTTTAATGTTTTTATAAAGGTGGGTTATTTCAAAATGTTTTATAATAATTATTATTTATAAAGTAATTGACTAATATTATTTATGTAGTTGTTATTATTATGTTTTTTCAAATATATTGTTAACTACCTATGTCATAACTTTATAAGCTAAAGTAAGTTTTACAATATTTTTTTTAATGTCTTTATGAAAATGACTTATAATATTTATATATTATGTACTTGTTACTATTTTATATTTTTAATTATATTGTTAACTTTGTTTAAGTCAAGATAGGTTTATAATATTTTTTTTAAATGTATATAAAACTGAGTGATAATAATCAAATAAAACTTAATAATAACACAATAACTCTTACAAATACTATTATAATAGTTACCTTTATTAATATTGAATGAAATAAAACTATCTATTGATATAAAATTATTATTATTTTTAATCAAATTTATCGTTCACTATGTCATTAGCCGAGGTAGGTTTATCATTATTTTTCTTTTTACCTAGTATAATACATTTTATTTGGTAAGTACGTTGTATGTTTTTAGTAATATATGTATACTATTATTCAGAAATAATTTTAAATGAATCATGTTTTATTTTAGACATTAAAACCAATAATAAACATAAAATTTTTAACTAAATAATATTAATATGTCTATCAAATGGCTAGATCGATGGTTTATCGATTGTATTCTTATCTACAATATACTGTACTTGAGCTTACTGGCGTTTTTATATATAAACCAATAAATATATTATAAGCTGTGAAATAATTTAAAAATAATTCGAATACATACATATAACCAAGATGTAAAGAAGAATGCTACATGTTTTCAAAATAAGTATATAATTTATTACAAATGTTTATTATTAAAATTATTTTTTTTTTTATCAACAATTATAAGAGCAAGAAAAAAATTCAAACCGTACATTTAGATTTTTATGGTCATAATATGGTCTGTGCTGTAATAACTGTAATTTAAATTTATAATATCAAGATATAAAGGGGAATTTTACGTATTTCAATTTTAATTTATTATATATGACAAATATTAATGGTTGTAAGCAATTTTTTTTTTTTACTGAATATTTTTCAAAAGTGGTAATAAGTTTATTGCACTGGACCCTTCAATTGATAGTGTGACACATAATATAATCTACATAGAAATGTACCTTAATGCAATTATAAAATAGGTAATTATTTCTGTGCACATGTTTAACAGTTAATGCATGTAGCATTCAAACAAATAAAATATGTAACATTCAATTTTCACCTAGAGAATGTGAATGTGTTTAGAAAAAAAATATTTAAGAGAAAACGTTTTTTTTTGTTCTTTAGAAATATGACTCAAGTATCCCCCATATAAAGTTATTATTCATAATATGTCATAATGTCTTATAATAGATTACTAAGAAAAAAACTATCTATTATCTTTAAAATTACACATAACTTATTGATAAATTGTAATTTAATGTGCACGTTTAACATTGTTTAGAAGAAAAAACAAGACTGTTGATCGAGATAAAAGACTCCGAAAAATGATTGTATTAGGGAGCATAAGATAATAACAATAATAAAAAATAAAACTATACTTAATATATTTAGATAATAATTATTATTATGCAGTCACACAGCCGACATAATTTGATTAAATAAGTTTCAGTATACTATTTAATGTGATTATTGTTATTTTTTTTATTATTATAGCACTTAGCTATACAATATTATAATCTATTTTGCCACGCAGAGTGCATATATAGGTAGTATAAAAATTATATAAAAATTATAATAATTGATACCTTGTTTAAACATAAATGATACTCATTATAATTTGAATTAGACGTATTATATATAGAGTGATTTAGTTTATGCGAATGATGCACTCGTCTCGACTATAGCAATATTATATTTTATAGAGATTGATTATATCATGTCATAATAATATAGGTTCACTAAAAATCTGACACCATCAACCATTGTATACCATAATAGTTTACTGCATTTAAATTTATAACTTATAAGTAACCAATATATTATTATAATATCTAGGTAATAATATTATTATATGTACTGTACACATGTGTCTGGAGTACCTATTGGTAATAAACTAATAACCTTCCCTTTCACGAAACTTTCTGGCGTGGTAAGCTTTCTACTTGGACTACACCTATTCGTCAATATTTGTTTAACCAAAACGATAATCTGGCACTAGAGTTTCGTGGATAAGTATGTAGTGCCTATACCTATTAATGTGTTTACTATTATTAGTTTGATGACCTTGCGCGGGATAGTATGCTGCTAAGAGAAAACGACGCTTTTAAAAGAACATTTAATAGATAGGTATAGGAATTTAATATTTGGATAAAGTGAAATTTATAACGCTTTGTCTTACAATAATCCAGTAAAAAATTATTAATATCGTTTGAAAAATATTACAACTATTTATTGAGACGAGATTTCAATAATATTTCCAGTTTTGTATTATCACTTTGAATATTATGTTATATCCGTGTATGCGTACATAATTTATTTATATATTATATTATAGATAGTTGCATTG